AGCCCCACTTTCCGGCCTGGCGGCCTCAGGGCTGACTCTGGGACGCCACTAGCATGGAGCTCGGGGTTTGAGCTGGGGCACTGGTGTGGGGTGGGGTGTCCCAGCACCTCCTGCCCTCTCTGAACCACAGCACCAAGGCTGGCATCCTCCAGCACCCAGGAAAGACGGAGGCCTGCTCAAGGCCTGGCACCAAGGCCAATGGACTCCAGGGCCCGGGTTCTGACCACGCTGCTGCCTGGCGCCCACCTCCCCGCCTGAGAGCTGGTGCGGAAACCTGCCCCGTGGAGCTCCCCCACCACCAGGCGGCACGAAGGTTCTTTTTTTCTGCAGCTGAAGCCACCTGCCTGGGCCGCAAGCCTTGGCCTCACCTGGAGCTTAGCTCCCCTCCGAGCCCAGCCAAGCCCAGGTCCTGCTCCCTCCCCAAGCCTGACTCTCCCTGGAAGGCTCTCACCTGGCCCGCCTGACATCCCCCCAGTGCTGGCAGCTGCTCCACCTGCAGTGTGATAGGGAATCTCTGTTGCCACGGAGGGCAGCTCAGTCCAGCGGGGAGGAGGAGCTGTCCCGGGCGGGTGGGCAGGGCCAGCTGGGAGACACAGGTGTCTGGAAGGACCCAGTGGATGAGGCCTGGAGCTAAGGGCCAGACCCTGAGGACACAGTTCCGCCGCGTCTTCTAGAGAAAGTCAGACTCAGCAGGGCAGGTACTAATGGCCAGAGAGGGCAACACTAGGCCAGGGCGGGAGATGGTAGGGGCCTGCCAGCCCACAAAGACAAGGACTATCCACGACCCCCTTGGGGTCATTTTCTCCGTGCCTGACAGGCAACCCCCGGATGGCCCCTCAGGGCACATCCAGGCTGTGCCCACTTCCCAAGGACATCGTCAAGTCACTGGCCACCCTCAGAGCACCTGCTCCTCACCCACGCTGTATCCCGGACTCCCCCAGGTGCCAGGCGGGTGCTGTGCCTGCCTCTTGATGCTGGGAACCTCCTCTCCAGCCTGGTCCCTCACCAGAGGCAGCCCTTAAAGACTATCCACCCCACCCCCTCATTTACTCATGGGGAAACTGAGTCCCACAGAACAAACGGGCAGCAGCACCAGGCCTCCTGCTCTCAGGTATGCTCTTCCAGCCCCTTCTCTGGCCTCAGGACAGCCTAAGACTGGGCAGAATCCAGAAGAAACGGCTCTGTTCTGCTGGGGAGGGGCTCGCCCAAGACAGAGACCGGCTCTGCCCATGGTTCCCTGGAGTCTGGCTCTGGGGACAGGGGGAGGGGCAGACCTGCCTGTTTTTAAGGGCTGAGGGAGGCGGGAGAGGATGGGGAACCAGGACCCTGGGGCCACCTCCGCTCAGGACTGTCCCACTCGGCTGCTGGTCTGTGCCTCTGCACTGGTCACTGGGTGGGTGGGAGCCATGTGGCATCCCAGTACACTACACAGGGAACAGTTGGCTCCAGGTCACCTGAATGCCCTTCTCAACTGACCCTCTCCTCCCAGGGACGGGCCAGCAGGGAGAGAGCAGTGACCAGAACCCAGGACCCCGCCCTCATCTGACAGCCACTTAACCCACTTCCCACTGGGGGCTGTTCTTCGGAAGGTTGCCCTGGACACCCCCTACTGTGTGGGGTAACATCGTCGGGCACCCCACCCTGACCAAGCACTGCCATGCCACACCAGAGGGATGGAACCTTCCTCCCCACGCTGGGGTAGAGGAGGGGGCTGAGGGCGTGGAAGGCCCTGCACCGCCCCCAACCTCCCTGCCACTCCCCCCACCTGGGAGATGCTCAGGACCCCCATCTAGCCACGGCCGCTCCCCCCAGCTTCTTACCAGGTGGAGGACAGATGGGGACGGACGCTGCTGCCTGGGCACCTGCTATTTGTTAGAGAAAGCGAGGCCCACCCTGAGGGGCGCCCCTGTTCCCCCAGGTGGGTTGGGAGGGCACTCGCGGGTCCTGGGGAAGTTGGATGGCCCTGGGAACGGCGGGTCCTGCAGGGTGCGGGAGCCTGAGGGGGAACTTGGGGGTCTTAGGTTAGACAGGGGTCTCCCCGCGTGGGGAGGGCGCAGCAGACCGTACCTGGTGGCGCATCGGCCGTCGTCGAACTCGAAGGTCCGGTTGGTGTAGCCCCCGCCGCGCGCCTCCCGGTAGACGCCCCCTGGGCTACGCGCCCCGTCGGGGAGCGGCATGCGGCCCGGCAGCTCGGACCCGACCCGAGGGAGAACCGAGTGGGAGCTGCCACCTTCTTCCCTCGCTTTGCCCTGAAAAGCATTTTTTTTTTCCCCCTCGCAGATTAGCAAGGAAAAAACGCCAGTCCCAGGGTCGGGTGCGGGCGTCTGTCCGCGCGCGCCCCCTGCCGGCCGCGCCGGGACCCGCGGCGGCTCTAGCCCAGGCTGGGACGGGGGTTGGGGGTAGGCGAGGGTAGGGAGGCCGAGGGTCCAGGGACCCGCCCCCACTGCGGCCCTCTGAACCCTCAAAACTCCGAAGAACGGAACGGGGTTCGTTAATGGCTAGAAAAGACCAAGCGCGCCGCCACCCGGCCCTACATCCCTGGGAAGGCTCCGTGGTAGGCAGCGGCTTGGGGGGCTCTGGATCCTTTGCAGGCAGCAGGGCACATGCGCTGCTCTGACCGCCAGCATCCGGCCGCCGAGCCCAGGCACCGTCACCACCTCCCTGCTGTGCTGCTCTGCCCTGGTCAACACTGGTCACTCAAGACAAGCCACATTCAACATGACTCTCCCCCACTCCCCACAGGTTGCGGCATCTGTCGGTGGGCACCACAACCTGGGCTCGGCCTGGGGGAGGGGGATGAGGGCATCCCACCCTGTGCTCTCACCCACACAGCACGCACAGCACCTTTAGACGGGTGAGGAGGGTTCCAACTTAAGATGCTGCAGCCCAACGACTGGGAAGCAGAGGGTCCCCCTGCAGGCCCCCTTTCCCGTGCACGTGCTCACACTGTTGCACATGAGTCACCCTGGCTCAGATGGCCTCACACAGAGCTCTGGAGAATTGCGATTTCTGTCCCCAGACCTTTGTTGGTTTGCAGTGCGGACCAGGCCCCTCACTAAGCCAGGACTGTGCCCACGAGGGGTAGGGGGAGGGCCAGGTCCATTGGGAGGGCGCATGGCATGTACTTCGTGGTCCCTGGCCTCCCCAGTGTCTCTCGGGGGTGTCCTTCCCTGTTTCTCTAGGAGGCAGCCAACTGAACACGGATGCTTTTGGGGTGGGGGTGGGGAACACTCAGGGAGGTCTAGGATGCTCTTAAGCCCCCAGCAGAAGTTCAGCCTGTGCCCCCACCACACAGCTTGTAGGCATCTTGGGGGTTTTTCCTCACGTCCCTAGAGAGGCTGGTGCTGCTGCTGGGGTCCCACCACCCCTGGGCGGGTGCAGCCAGGGCAAGATGGTGGCTTTCTGCTAATGCCCTCCTGCCTGGGGAACTCAGAAAAATCACCACTGAGAGTCCGCACCGTCTGCATCTGTGATTAATTAGCAGTAATTACACGGGTTGTCAGCGGCAGGAGACTCCCAGGTTCGATGACATTCCGAGGGCTTTAGGGAAACAAAAACTTGGCCCCCTCTGCCACTGAGGAGCCCCAGATCGCCAGCCCGTCCACCCCTCCCTGGCCAGGGGCAGGGCTGGGAGAGGGCCCAGGTCCCCGAGAGCTTTTGCCCTACCTCCAACCCGGTCCTCCATGTCTGACCTGCAGTGGTGGCTGGGCTGAGCAGGGATGGAGAGACCACCTTATATTACATAACCTCCCTCTGCTCCAAACACCCTTCGCCCATCTTTGGCCCAAAGTTCAGAATGTCAGCCTGACGCCTTCTCCACAGGAGATTGGGGCACCCCGGGCAGATGCCCCCTATGTGGTGGCACCTGCCCGGGCTCCTTCTTGCCGCCCCTCTCAGGAAAAGAGCCCCTGCCACCCACCCCACCTCCTCTAGCTACAGACCTCAGCATGAGCCCTGCCACCCACCCCAACTCCTTTAGCTACGGACCTCAGCATGAGCCCGGTCACCCACCCCACCTCCTCTAGCTACCGACCTCAGCACCAGCCCAGCCAGTGATGTCCTCCCGACAGTCCAGCCTCAAGCCCCACCCTTGTCCCTTCTGCTTCCCTGAGGGCCACCCCCACCTCCGTGAAAGAGGAAGTCTCCACCTCCCCCTTCCCTCTGTCATCCCCCCAAAAGTATTTACCGGGGGACTCAAGCCCAGCGCAGGGCGGCTTCTTGAATTCAGCGCGAGGAGGTGAAAAGAGACCTGGCGCCAGAGCTTTCTGGGTTTGGATGGGGAGGACCCCGCGACCCCGCAGAAACCTGCTGACAGTATGAGCGGTCGAGCTGGGGCCCCATGGCACGAAGCGGGGGCGGTGCCCGGACAGGACCAGGGGAAGGGACAGATGGCTCTGAGGGTGCCCGGCAGAGCTGAGCGGGAGGAAGAGCGCGGACGATGGTGGCCTGGGGGTGGGGACAGGATGCCCCTGGCTCTGGGCGACCCAGCAGGGTGGATGGTGACCCTATCCTGGGGCACAGTACCCGCAAGGGCACTAGATTTGGGGGGAAAAGGCAGGCGTGGGCGACTGGGGGACAGGTGGGTACCCTCCCTGTCCCTGTGTGCCTGGGTCCCCCAGGCCTGGGCTAAAGGGCTCAGCCCAGCTCGCCCACTCCCACCACGGGCTGGGCTCCTAAGGGCAGGGCCCGCCTCTCCAAAGTGCCCAGGGGCAACGAGACCCCCCGCATAAGTAGGAACCAAGACGACCCCTGGGAAGGTAAGGGCGGAGGCAGGGCCACCTGGGCTGGGGCCCTTCCCCTGGCGTACCGAGGGGGCACGGAGTGGGTGGATCCTCCGAGTCCCTTTCCAGCACCTTTGGAGGAACGCGGGTCACATGGGCCCCGGGCTGAATGCGTGGGGAGGGCCAGAGCGCATGCGCTATGGGGGCGGACTGCGAATGGGGGTGGAGGCGGGCTGGGTGGAAAGCACGTGGCAGGTGGGCAGAGCACACGTGAGGGGGCGGGGCTGCCTGCGGAAGGGGCCGTGCGCGTGGGGTCGCTCCGCAGCTGCGAGTTCATGGCGTCCCGGTGCTCCGAGCCCGACCCGGAGGTCTCCGGAGTCCCCACTGCCAGGGGATGCAAGTGAGGAATTGGGCTGGGGGCCAAGGGTGTGGGGGCCCAAGCCCTGTACCCAGGGGTGCTTCCGCAAGTCGCCGGGCTCCACTCCTCTTGGCCCTCCTGGGGCAGAGCCCTGGACCCTGGGGGAGGGGAAGGGGTGCAGAGAGGGCCGGGTCGTGTCCCTACGTGACCCAGGTCTTGGCCTCCACGCGCATCCCAAAGACCCCCATTCTGGCATCTGGGACTCCCGGTGGCCTTGTCTGGGGTTCTCAGGACCTGGTGTTCTTGGCTCTCTCGGCAGCGGCTCCTCCCTGTCTGGTGCCCTCTCCTGCTGCGAGGACTCGGCCCAGGGCTCGGGCCAGCCCAAGGCCCTTACGGTGGCCGAGGGTCCCAGCTCCTGCCTTCGGCGGAACGTGATCAGCGAGAGGGAGCGCAGGTGAGTGGCGGTGCCTCCTAGAGGTCGGGGCGCTTTGTAAAGGGGTGGAGCGGGTGAGATTAGGTTTGTGGCTGCCACCAGGTGTCAGGCAGCCGGGAGGGGCTCGTGGCCTGTGCCCGGTGGAAGGACAAACTGCACACCTCCAAGTAAACCAGAAAAGCCACGTTGGGGGACATCCCGCAGCCCCTCTTTGCCTGAAGCCTTGGGCTCGTGAGGCTGTGCACCTGTGACCCTCTGCACTGCTGACTGCCTCTGACTCTCCCTGTCCTCTCCACACCGCAAAGCAGCCATGGTTTGGGCCTGGGCTGGACAGCCTGTCACCGGGGCCCAGGGGTCAGGCCCAGGCTGTGCTCTGATGTGGATCTGGGGGCTTCAGACCACGGGGACAGCTAGCCCACGCTGCCCCGGGGCAGCTCTCAGTTGTCTTGTAACCTCGTCTACCTGGCAAGCCCCCAGGGTCTTTCTGGTAGGTTCTAGCGGTTACTGTCCCTTCTGGGGGAGGCCGGGAGCACCCAGAGATGCTTCCAGAGATGTCTGTTTCTTGACCGGAACCAGGAAACGGATCTCGTTGAGCTGTGAGCGTCTGCGGGCCCTGCTGCCCCAGTTTGATGGCCGGCGAGAGGACATGGCCTCAGTCCTGGAGATGTCTGTGCAGTTTCTGCGGCTTGCCAGCGCCCTGGGGCCCAGCCAGGAGCAGCATGCTGTGAGTTGTCAGGGTAGTTGCCATCAGTCCTCTGGCATCACGGTGATGGGACATCTCACCACCTTGCAGGCAGCACGTCCCCTGTCATGCCCGTCTCCCTCAGCCCCCTCGGCCTCCACCACTAGAGCAGGCCACGTTTTCGGCGGGGCATTTCCTGATTCGTTCAAGTCCTACCTGTTGTTATTCTCTGCCTGGAAAGGAGCAAGTCTTCTCTTCCAGTCCTCATGTGCCACTGAGTTCTGTGCATTGATGGGTTACTCAGATGCTCTGTGCCAATTTGGGGGAGAGTTAGGCTCCCCTGATCCTCCCTGGCTGAGCACCCCCTAGATCATTTCTCTGCACATCCCCAAGAGAGGCTCCTGTTCCCTCTCCAAGGCCCTGGGGGCTCTGGCTGACCCCGTGAGTGCTGGGGTTGAGAACCTGCTTGGGGAATGAAACAGTGTTGTCATCTGTGAGGTCAGGGGTCCCAGCATGTGCAGTGAGGCCCTAGGTATGCACAGCCTGATTCAGGAATGGTGGGGTCTTTTTGGGGTGGAACCTCAGTCTCGTCATCAGCCTGTACCCTCGCCCCCAGGTCCCAAGCAGGGACCGAGCTCACAGCGATCCTCCAGGCCCCGGGGTAGCAGTCTGGCCACAGTTTCTTGGGTTTCCCAGTTGACTCTCTGTCTTTGTTTTACTTGTTTATTTAAATTTCAGATGCTTGCTTCTTCCAAGGAAATGTGGCACTCGTTGCAGGAGGACGTCTTACAGTTGACGCTGTCGAGTCAGATTCCAGCAGGCGTGCCAGACTCTGGGACGGGAGCGTCTGGCGGGACTCGGTTAGTGTCTCCTGGGGCTGCTCTGCAGGGCCGGGTAACCCTGGAAGCAGCAGACCCAGAGCCCCTGGCATGTCCTTGGGAGGGTGTGGCCTGGAGGCCCGGCTTGGCCTCCGCAGGTGGTGACCTGCCCAGGGCCCTGCCGACTCAGGTGGCCAGGCGTGAGGTGACCAACACAGGCGAGCTCCAGGAAGGGGAGCACCGTCAGCAGAATCGAGGGCCTGGGCTGGCGTGGAGGTGGGAGGTGCCCGGGAAGAGTCTCTTTTGCGCTTGTGTGTGGGGGATTTGCAGGTGGTCAGTGAGGTGTCGTCTTCCACCCCACGGGCAGCTTCAGGAATGGAGTTTTCTGAAGTCAAGATAATTTGGTTCTTTTCAGAATGGCAGCTCCCCAGGTTAAAGGACTGTCTGCATCATTTGTTTAAATGTACCCATTTTACCCCACAGTGGGCTGGGGCATGGGGCTGGTGGCTAATTAGCTGTGGAAGAATCTAGAACCGGGGGAGTTGGGCAGAGGGAAATTGGGCAGGTGGCTGTGGAGCTTGGCTGGCCCAGGGCCCCCGGGCCGAGGCTGGGCTAGTGGTAGGTGGTGCCTGGGGTGTCCTGGCGAGGGGTCCAGTCCTCTGCTCCTGAGGTGGGTAGGTGGGGGCAGCTCTCCAGGGGGCTGGGGGTAGACCCAGGATCCTCGTCACGTTGCTCCTTTTAGAACTCCAGATGTGAAGGCGTTTCTGGAAAGTCCTTGGTCCCGGGATCCGGCATCGGCCGGCCCAGAGCCCCTGCCCCACGTCCTTGAGTCCTCCAGGCATTGGGACCCTCCGAGCTGCACGTCCCTGGGCACAGACAAGTGTGAGGTGCTGTCGGGGCTGTGTCAGGTGCGGGGTGGGCCGCCCCCTTTCTCAGGTGAGCCCTGGGTGTGTGTGTGGGGTGCCCTTGTCCTGGGGAGCCCGGCCAGGCTGTGTTTTAGTCCTAAGAACAGCGGGGGCTGTTTGCAAACAGGAATTTGAAGTTTTCCCAGGCTTTTGTGTTGGTGAGAAATCCACGTATTGAGGGCTGAGCTCGATTCAAGGCCCCCGGGCTGTGCTTTCTTTTTGTGTAAAGGAGGATGTGTGCTCTCGGGAGGGAGAATCCGGGCCAGAGGCCACCCTGGGGCTGTTCCCTCTGTCCTGTCTCCTCCTGAGATCTCCCTGTGCTCCAGGGAAGGGAGGGCTTGACCACCTCCTCCCTGGGTCCCTGGGTTTGCTGGGAAGCATGGGAATGTAGAGTGACTTGGCCCCATCCTGGTCACTCCCTGGGTACCTGGGTCTGCAGGAAGTGTGGGGATATAGAGGGACTTGGCCCCATCCTCGTCACTCCCTGGGTCCGTGGGCCTGCGGGAAGTGTGGGGACGTAGAGGGACTTGGTCCTGTCTTGGGTCTCTGGGTCTGTGGGAACTGTGGGGATGCAGAGTGACTCGGCCCCATCCTGGCTGCTCCGTCCAGCTTTGCGGCCCTGCTTCCTCCACCCGCCTGTGGCTGGTGTGTTTTGGATGCGGCCAGAGATCTGTTTTCCCCAGGGTACCCCATCTGCTCCTCCGCCTATGCTGCCTGCCCATGGCAGGAACTGTAATCGGGGTGAGCCAGGGGCCCAAGGCCTCCCAGCTGTTCCCACTGCCACCCGGGGCCTTTGTCCCTAATGCCCCCCACAGCTGAGCTCTGGTCCCTCTGTGGGTGGCCCTGCAGGGCATCTCTGATGACCGAGTTCCCCTCGGCCCCCACTGTGCCAGTGTCTGGAAGTTGCTAGGTGCCATGAGAGGCAGGGCTGTGCCTTTTGGCTCCCCGTGAGTGAGGCTGTGGCCGGGAACAGTCATGCGGTTGGCAGGGCTGGTGGCAGAGCTGGGGTCATCAGGGCACTCCAGAAACCCATCAGCCTGGCACGTGGGAAGGGAGCAGGTCTGAGGGTAGAGCTCGAGGTCCGGGAGGGGGCGCTGAGAGGGTCCCCAGATCCAAGCCCCTTGCAGCTGGCCAAGCCAGCACCCACTCTAGGAAGCCCTCAGCCCCCAGGTGTTGGGCACCCCATCTCTGGGTGTTCATCTTCTCCCCGTTTACCCTTCTGCCACCTGCTTCTGAGCTTCCTCTTGCGTCTCCCTGCTGCAGGGTGCAGGCAGCAGGGTAAGTACTCGGTCAGCGTTAGTGGACCGAACCCTTGAGTTGCAAGGTCCTCGGGGGAAGCCTGTGGGGCCGGGCAGGGAAGTTTGACCCGCATCTGACTTCTCTCCCAGAACCTTCCAGCCTGGTGCCGTGGCCCCCAGGCCCGAGTCTTCCTAAGGCTGTGAGGCCACCCCTGTCCTGGCCTCCGTTCTCGCAGCAGCAGACTTTGCCTATGATGAGTGGGGAGGCCCCTGGCTGGCTGGGCCAGGCTGGGCCCCTGGCCATGGGGGCTGTACCTCTGGGGGAGCCAGCTGAGGAGGCCCCCATGCCTGTGCAAGACGCCAGGTGAGTGCCCAGGCGGTGTGCACGCCTGTGTGTGCGAGAGCGAGCATGTGTGTGTGAGCCTGCCCCACCTTCCAGTCCTGCCTAGGCCCCCTTTCTTGGCATCTGGAAGCTTCTCTCCCTGCTTCCTCTGTGCCTGTGGGAGGGAGGCCAAGGCCACAGCCCAGGACGGGACCAGCCAGCCTTGCCGTGTGGCTTTCTAATGTGTGTTTCTGGAAACACTTTCGTCTTCCTAATTGTCATTTGTTTTGGCTGATAGTAAAATGAGTTTGTGTTTCCTGAGCACATACCAGCTGGGGTGTGGGAGGGGGAGGGGAGGGGGAGGGAGGGGACAAGATGAGCGAGACTGCGGCTGGAGAGAAACCGGCAGAGATGCTCTGCAGGACGGATCGGGACCTGGGAGAGCCGCTGACCGGTGTCCTCAGCGGCGGTGGCTTCTGCACTTCTCCCCACTGGGCAGGGTGGAGCCCGTCAGGAGTGGCGTCTAGATCTTTGCATTTCAAGCTGCCTTTGCAGGACTTGGGACCCAAATGTTTCCTTGAGCTTCAAGGCCTGGGTCCACTTGTGGACACTAAGGAAGCGCTTCTTGCCCTTCCTCAGGTCTGTGTTGGGGTCTGATATGGAGGATGGGACGTCCTTCCTGCTGACTGCCGGTCCCAGCTGGTGGCCGGGTGAGTGGGGCCCTGGGTCCGGGGCTGGTCACCTGACATGAACTGGGGAATTGGGACTCAGGCCCAGCGTGTGTGACGCGGGGTCCCAGGGTCTGTGAGCCCCCGTTTTCTCCTCCTTGGGTGCTTAGCTATTGGGTAGCGTCTAGCATTGAGTGTCATAGGTGATAGGTGAGAGTGTGAGTGAACGTGATGTGGACGACCCTGCGTGAGAGCTGGCGGTGTGTGGAGCCCTGTATTCTTCTTCTCGACCTCGTGTCAGTGAGGCCCCTGGTCTAGCCCGTGCTGGCCGGCAAAGGTGTATGGCCCTGTGATACGGCGTGTGTCCGTTCCATGTAGGATTTAGTGTTGGGGAGCCCCTTCCTGGTTCTGGTCCAACAGGTGTCCTGGGTCTGGGGCCGCCAGGTATGAGCTCACCTACTTCATCACAGCCTCTGCGTAGCACGGACAGGGCAGGGCAGATGGGCTGAGGTGGGAGCTCTGCTCCTCTGACCCCACCTGTCTGCCTCAGGCTCCCAGAGCACCAACCTGCCCTGCTGACGTGTCCTGTTTGCTTCCAGGGTCTCTGGAGGGCCGAGGAGGCAGTGGCCCTGCATGGGCTCCAGCTGAGAGCAGTCCACTGGATCAGGGAGAGCCAGGCTTCCTAGGGGACCCTGAGCCTGGCTCCCAGGAGCTCCAGGACAGCCCTCTGGAGCCGTGGAGCCTGGATGTGGACTGTGCAGGCCTGGCCCTGAAAGACGAGGTGGAAAGCATCTTCCCTGACTTCTTCGCCTGCTAGCAGCCGGGCTGTGGAGAGGAGGCAGGCAGGGCCGGTGGATCTGGAGCCGCGTGTGTCCCTGTCGCATGCTTGGGCATTTTATTTTGGGTTTGGGTTGCAGCTGCACCCTAATTTGAGCGAGGCTTACAGGCTGTGACAAGAGGATACTGAATATTAAAGAGAGAAAGCAGTTTTCCTGGAGGAAGCAAAACCCGTGTGGCTTCTGTGTAATTAGTCCGATTCATCGGACAGATTGCGCCACCTCCGTTCAGCGTGCAGGCAGCTGCCGCAGATTTTGTTCTGCAAAGTTCGCAGCACTGTGAAATCCCGGAATAACCCAGTCCTGGTGCCCTGGGGTGGGGGCACTCCGGGTCCTGCTCCCTGGAGGCGATGTGGCCTCACGGTCTTGCTGCCTAGAGGTTGCTGTGTGAGCTGCTTTTCCTGCTCGGTGCCACTCAGAGCTGCAGGGAGGGGAGTCCTTTCAGAAAAGCCTGCTGCCCTGTTCCGGCCTGGGGGGCTCCAAGGGAAGGGCTGGCTTCCACCTCCACTGCTGGTCACCGCTGCACTCACTGTACGTGGGGAATGGGGACCCTGGGCAGAGGTCACCTGGCCTCCATGTCTGGTCCTGTTCCCAGCCCTCCACCCTGAGATCTGGAGTGGGGCTGGTTTACTTCGGGGGTGGGGGCAGGTTACTTAGAGGAGGAACCGAGCTCTTTGGATGGTGCTTAGGTGCCCGCCCGTTTTTCAGCCACAGCACAAGTGGTGCTGGTCTCCGACCCCGGATGCTCGACCTCACCCTGCTCTCCCCATCTGGAGACACTGGCTCCAGGTCCCATGTGACCCCCCGCCGGCCAGGGCAGTGTTCCAGGGACCAGCGCGGTCTCTGTCCCCCAGGTAGAGGAAACAGGTTTGAGCGTGGGCTCAGAGCCCCACCAGGCTGCAGCCCTGTGCCTGCATGCAGCCGCCCCCGCAGCCAGCCAGAATGTTCCATTCATTCCTCTGAGTCATTCAGACAAAGGCTGAGGAGCGCCTGCCGTGGGCAGGAGGCTAGGAGGCTCCAGGGAGCAAGTGCTGTGCAAACACCAGGCTGTGGGTGGCGGGCAGACCCCAGGGGAGAAGGGGGTGGGGAGCTTGGGTGAGGGGCCCAAGGCCATCAGGACCGGCTCTGAGCACCCACCATGGTCCCCTGGAAGGAGGTCCAGATCCAGCTGGATGCCTGAGACGTGGCTGTCGGCTGCAGAGCAGCATCTTCGGGACGCTGTGGCACCGGGCGCTGACGGCCCGTGTTGCTGAGACCCCGGGGCAGAGGCGGAGTCGTCTTCAGACCTCTGGTGGACAGAGTGGTGGTCGGGGCCCAGCCGGGAGCACGAGGCTGCTCTCCCGTGTCCTGCTCATTAGGGTTCGACTCAGGCTGCCAGATTTCAAGAGTGTCTCCTAGAAGACTAGTGTGTTCACTGCTGCACTGCTGTAAAGCAGTACCTGAGACTGGGTGATTGAGGAAGAAAAGAGATTGAGTTGGCTCACGGTTCTGCAGGCTGTATGGGAAGCGTACTGCCTTCTGCTCCTGGGGAGGCCTCAGGAAACTTCCAGTCACGGCAGAAGGCAAAGTGGGAGCAAGCACATCACATAGAAAGAGTGGAAGCGGCCGGGCGCGGTGGCTCACGCCTGTAATCCCAGCACTTTGGGAGGCCGAGACGGGCGGATCACGAGGTCAGGAGATCGAGACCATCCTGGCTAACACAGTGAAACCCCGTCTCTACCAAAGCTACAAAAAAAAAAAAAAAAAATTAGCCAGGCGTGGTGGCGGGCACCTGTAGTTCCGGCTACACGGGAGGCTGAGGCAGGAGAATGGCTTGAACCCGGGGGGCGGAGCTTGCAGTGAGCTGAGATCGCGCTACTGCACTCCAGACTGGGCGACAGAGCGAGACTCCGTCTCAAAAAAAAAAAAAAGCAAGAGAGAGGAGGGAGGTCCCAAACTCTTCAACAACCAGATCTCACGTGAACTGACTGAGGAGTCACTCATCACCAAGGGGCTGGCACTAAGCTATTCGTGAGGGACCTGCCGCCATGATCCAGTCATCTGGCACCAGGCCCCACCTCCAACACTGGGGATCACATTTCGACGTGAGACTTGGAGGAGACATCCAGACTGTATTACCGTGTGTGCATGTGTGTGCACACGTGTGTCTGTGGGTATGCACAGCTTCGTGCTAGTACTCGGGTGTTTGTGCGCCCATGTGTTGCTGTGCATCTGTGTGTGTCCCATGTGTTGGTGTGTGTCCACGTTTGCACTGTTGCCATGCGTGCATGTTTGTGTGCTGTGTTGCTGTGTGCGTGTTTCTGTTCCCATGTGTTGGTATGCATGTGTTTGCACTGTGCAAACTGCATTGGTGTGTGTGCACGGGTGCTTGTGCTAGGTATTGGTGTGTGCATGTTTGTGTGCAGTGTGCACTTAGTGTGCATGTATGTGTACAGTGTTGGTGTCTGCATGTGTGTGTACTGTGGTGTGCATATATGTAATGTCTGCACTGTGGTGTGCATGCATGTTTGTGCACTGTTGGCCTGTGTGCATTGTATGTGTGTGCTGTGTTGGTATGTATGCATGTATTTGTGCTCTCGTGTGTACATATGTGCACTGGTGTGTGCATGTGTGCACTGTTGGCAGTATGCATGTGTGCACTGGTGCATGTGCATGTATGTGCACTGTGTTGGTTTGTATGCGTGCGTTTGTGTTCCCGTGTGTGGGTATGCGTGCATGCTTGTGACTACTGGTGTGCATGCCTGTGTTTGCACTGTGTGCATGTATCTGCTGTGTCCCTCGGGGACCCTCCAGGGCTCCTGGTAGCTGGGCCCACTGAGCAGCTCCGACTCACACGCCTTCACCGCTCTGCTGACCTTCCCCAAAAGTCCCCCCATGCTGGCCCACCCCGGGTCACCCCACCCCCAGCTCACCCTACACCTGGTCACCACAGCCCCCGGCTCACCCCACCCCCGGTCACCACAGCCCCAGGTCACCCCATTCTGCACTTGGTGTTACCTCAGCCCAGAGGCTTCCTGGGGGATGTGTCCCCAGCACCACAGGTCCCCAGCACCTCCAGGAGCGTTTTTGAGGAAGATGGGGGTTCAGGTGGGAGTTGGCAGGGGAGGGTCTCCCTCCTATGAACCACCGGCCACTTTACTGGTGTTTGCCTTGTAAATGGGGTGGGGTCGTCAGGGGTAAAACTGACCCCCATCACATCTTTGGTGCAGTTCTGGGGTTCCGAGTGGGAGGAATGGGAGCTGAGACCTTGGGGGGAGTGGTTAAAGGACAGCCCTGAGGGTCTTCCCAGGAGGGGTGATTCGTCTCCGTGGTGTCAGGGCCCAGCACTCACCAAAGGGCCATGCCCATCGCCCCCCTGTCCTTTTATGGGAGGGTCTGATGCCCAGAATAGGGCCACGATCCCCGCTGCAGACACCTGTGGGCCCAGGCGGGAAACGCCCAAGGCGTGCATGCAGTGTTGGGGTCTCATAAATGCCCTTCTCAACAGCACCTGCCTCGCCCTGACCTGGTTGAGCTTAGCTGGTGAGGGCATGCTGCCCGGCCCCCCCATGCCTGTGACACATGGCCATAAACATGGGTGAACCAAGGTAGGAGCGAGTGGGGGGTATGCAGAGGCCCCAGTCGGCTGCCTCTTGTAAAGCGGGGACCAGTCGTGCCCTCCAGGCGGGGGGCTCTGTGATTGATTTCCTCCCTAGAGGGGACCAAGCTCCCCGAGGTGCACCCGGGTCCTCACCAGGTGCTGCTGTCTCTGGAATCAGGATTTCTGAAACCACCCTCAGCAGGGCCGTGGAGCGGCCCCTAGCTCTTTGATGGTGAGATGGGGTCCATCTCCCCTCATTCTTCTGCCCCCTTCTCGGGAGAGTGTTGGGGTGGAATTGGGGTGGAATGGAGCCGTGGGCGGTCTGGCTGCTGAGGCTGTGTTATGCCTGGGCACTGGCCGCCATGGCCCTTCCCTGCCAGGATGGGACAAGCAGCCATGTCCTCAGGTGGCTGGGAGCAGCCCTGGGCTTCTCTGTGTTGCATTCATGGCCCAGCCCTGGGGGTTCCTGGGGGCTCCAGGATCCTGGGCACTGCATGTTCTCAGAGAATGCGCTTCAGGACCTGGAACGGGCTGTGCAGTCTGGAAGCTGGTTCAGCCCAGGAACTGGGCTCAGAGGGCACTTTGGTGCCAGGGCAGGGGAGGGGACTTGTTTTTCTTGGGGTGAACTGCCAAGTCCATAAGCTGGGCTGTCCCTTCCCTTCTCCTCCAAGGGCCCATCCCCCAGCAGGGCCAGACCCCAACCACATAAGAGCCCCGGGCAGGGGAGCGGGGCTGAAGGAAGGGAACTAGAAGGGCAGCCCCTTCAAGGAGCTTGCGGGGTTACTCGAAGGGTGCACAGGTCTGTGTGGTGAGGCAGGAGGCTGATGCCAAGGAGGACCCATCAGGCACAGGGACAAAGAACTGTCATTGCAGAGGAGGGGAGGGGGAGGCACCCCCAGTTGTGTGTTCTCTCCCCAAGAAGACTGTGCTGGGGCTAATGACTCACTCATGCTCCTGGCCTCCCCACATGAACCCTCCTGGACACCCCCCAACCCCATGCTGTGCTCACCTTGGCCTTGGAAGTGGGGCTCTGTTGGATGACAGGGTGACAGCTGCTCCCTGTCAGGGCTAGCCTGGGGTGGGAGGGGGCACGCTGCAGGTGTGGAGCTGTGGCTTTCTTAAATCCCAAGCATAGGCCCTGTCCCCATCAGGTCCCTGGCAGAAGAGGAGAGAGGCCCTGGGCAGTGGTCTGGTGGATGCCTGGTGGGGGTCCTGCCCACAGAGGGCCCAGCCTCAGCCCTTGCTCGGCTCCCCTGCAGTGGCCACCGGGGAGATGTGAAGGGTACCCCCTAGACCCTCCACATTCCACATTTTGGAGTTGCTCTTTCCCCTGTTGGGGGGCCGCTGTCCAGCCCAGGCTGAGGCTGGCAAGGACTCCAGCAAGCATCTGGTCCTACGGAGGCAGAAACTGAGCCACAGAATGGGCAGGGACTGGCTGCACCCCGGACTCCCAGCTCCTGGCTGGCCTTGCCCGGAATTGTGTCATCTTCCTGGGTCAGATTCAAGGGTGGCCCCCACTCAGGGCTCACTGTGAGGCTGGGGAGATGGGGGTCACCTGGCCTCTTCCTAGATTAGCTGCTTCTCCAGCATC